TAAAATGAATGTCAAATATCTCATTAATAACTTTTATATTGATGGTATAGTGAAATTGTAATATCTCGAGTATATTGGGTTGGGTGAGATACATTATTAAACTTTTTAAAATCTGTTTGTTTTTACTTTTTAAATGTGGCTACCAGAAAAATTTAAATTACATATATAGCTTATACTGTATTTGTAGTTGGGAGGTCTGCATTAAACCATATCAGACAGCATTTCCTTGAGAAAGTCTTTCTAAATCATCTAGGATAAGCACAGTGGCTTCCTAACATCTTTCATGACACCCTCTTACATAATTAATTGATGTTCTATTCTTGTGTTTTTCTCCCACTAAACCACAAGTTTCTCAAGGGCAAGGACTATGTTTTATTTTTTATTTTTTATTTTTTTTGGTACCAGGGATCGAACTCAGGACCCTGTGCTTGCAAGGCAGGTGGAGGAACCACTGAGCTAAATCCCCAGCCCTTGGGACCATGTTTTATATAGTTCCATCATAGGGCATGGCACATGGTACTGCATAAATACTTGTGAAATGAATTAATCAATGGCTATTCATATCAAGTTCATATCTATCTTTACATATAATTTTTTAGATTAATTTTTGGTCTTAGGGATTCCTGGAAGTCCAATGTCCTGGCTATATCTCTAGGCTATCAGGTGCAGTGCCCAATCTGGGGTGCCGTACATGGCAACCCTGTAGGCAAACCTTTCAGTTCTTCCTCACATTGTGCTCCTAGGTCAGGAATGAGCAAACAAGGGTGAGCTCCAGGAGGAGTGGAAGAAAGAAGGGAGGAAGTGAAGAGAAAAGGAAGCAAGACTTCTCCCTACTCATTTTGTGGCAATGTGAGCCCAGCATGGCAGCCAAGCAAACAGAGCTGTGGAAGGGTGGGAAGCACCAGCTGGCTGGCCGTGGTATGCCACTGGGTGGAACTAAAATTTACAACAAGGGAGAGGCAACTGGAGAAAAGAAAGATTCTTTTAAAAATTCTGCTGAAGCTTCATTAAGAAAAATTCCACTCCCTCATGCTGAGTTTTAAGAGGCTGTCCTGTCAGAATTATTTTCAGTCTCATGGCAGCAGGCAGGAAGAGAGTCAGATATTCACCAAGCTATGAAGAGGACAGTCCCCAGCCCCTAAAATGCAGGGGTAGCCCACCATGCCTTCCTGTCCTGGGTTGTGAGGATACAGGATGTGAAGTTGTCAAGGCATAGATCTTTCTGGAAAGGTATGCAGCTTGGGGAAGGTTTAAAAACTGGCTGCAGTGTTTTGCAGCTCCTGCCACCTGGAGTCACCAACAGGGTCAGTTTTGGCAGCCCTTGAATCCGGCTTTACCCATGGGACATTAGCAAACTGATGCAAGCAGAGGCTTGAAAAGTGCTTGGACACTGGGGTTCCCTCTCTTTTGCTGATTTCCCTTCAGAGGCTAGACACACAAGTGACACCAGCCGGGACTCCCAGGCTTCGGCTAGTCCTGTAGCTCTCTGTAGTCACATAAGCAAGTTTGGTGAGCCCTAACAGAAGAACTTAGCTGAGCCCAGACCAAATTGCCAATCCCGAGGAAGGTGAGCTAATAAATGGTCATTGTCTTAAGCTTCTATGTTTCGGAGTATATTCTTAATGTGGCACTGTGGTCCGAATGTTTGCTCCCCCTAGACTTCAGATGTCAAAAATGAATTCCCCATATGGTGGTATTAAGAGGTAGGGCCTGTGAGAAGTAGCTCATGAGAGCTCTGCACTCATGACAGGAGAGAGGAAAGGGGCAATGGAAGGCATCTAGCTCAAGGATGATAATGCATTTATAAAACAGGTCTAAAGGTGCTTGTTCAGCCCTCCACTAGGTGAGGACAAGCAAGAAGATGCTGTGTATGAGAAATGGGTCCTCACCAGATACCGAATTTCTTGGTGCCTCGATCTCGGGTTTCCCAGCTCCCAAAAGAGCAAATTTCTGTTGGTTTTAAGTGCCTAGTTTATGATATTTTTGTTGAAGCATCCTGGAGTGGACTAAGAATAGGAAAAATGCCTCAACATATGCATTCTAAGAGGTGGAGAAGTCCAAAAGACAGAGTCACCTTACAACTTAAAATAGAAGAGGTGCTGCCACTGAGTGTTTTAGTGTTACCCTTTCAGACGAGACAAGATCGGGCACGTTCAGGGTGGTATGGCTGTAGACTAGTCTACCCTTTCAAAATATGGCTGATTTGGTGTCTGGTAAGGGGCTGCTTTCATAGATGATACCTCTCTGCTGTGTCTTCACGTGGCAAAAGGACTGAGTTGGAGCACTAATACCAATTATATGGATCTAATCACCTCCTAAAGTCTTCATTTCCATTATCATCAGTGTTGAGGGTTAAGTCCCAACATTCAAACCAGAGCATTGAGGCATCATGAGTACAGGCTTTGGAGCCAGATGGACAAGGTCCCACCACTTGCTTGGTGTGATCTAGGGGTGTCTTTGGTAACATGACACTATATGCTTTGCAGTGAGAACTACATCCACTAGGGCCAAACACCTGAATTAGATGCTGGAGGAGTTTATCTAGAGACTACTGAATTTTCAAAGCAGTGGCTAGGGTTTAGGGAGCCACAAGGAGAGTGCAGTGCCTGGGGGCCATGTTACTGCCAGGTGTGAAGAGGCAAGGAGAGGTCACATGGAGCTGTCCTGGTCCAGAGGGCTGCTTAACAGGAGCAACAACCTTGTGTGGAGAAATGAAGTGTTTTGCAGTGATGTGGCTGGGAAGGAGCAAAACTCTGATTTAACTACTTCCTCTTATCTATTTCTTGTCAGTGCTTGCCATCAGCCTTAGCCAATGGGAAACCAATGCACAGGCAGATTAATCCTCTATGGCAAAAAGCAAGGTGAGGAAGGAGGGAGAGTAGAAGAAGGCAATGGAAACCATCTAACTCAAGGACTATAATGCAGAAGAAAGCACTGTGCATGTATATCATTATTTGCTAAAATTATTATTAGTAGTGGAAGACACCAATGGCTACAGGTGGCAGAAGAGGAAATTAACATTTTTGCCAGGGCAAACTACAGCATATTCATGGAGAAGGTATGCTTTGAGTGTAGCTTGTTACACTCGGGGGAAAAATAACAGTAAGAGCAAACACTAACATGGAATTTACTATGTGCAGGTACTATTCTGAGCGCCTTACATACATTGATTTGGTTAATTCTCATATTTACCTCATGGGGTAGATACTACAATTATTCCCATTTCACAGGTGAGGAATTGAGGCAAAGAGAAGTTAGATAACTCAACTGAAATAAAACAGCTTATAAGTAGAATAATCAAAATTTGAGATAATTTTTTTTTTGTACCGGGGATCAAACTCAGGACCTTGTGCTTGTGAGGCAGGCGACGGCACCACTGAGCTACATCCCTGGCCCCTGAGCTAATTTTTTTTTCTGGCAGTACTGGGGATTGAACCCAGGGCTCTCATACTGAGTTACACCCACAATCCTTTTTTATTTTGAGACAGGGCCTTGTCAAGTCCCTAGGTTGCCCAGGCTAGGCTCAAACTTGTGATCCTCCTGGCTTCAGCTTCCCGAAGTACTGGGATTGCAGGCATGTGCCATCATGCCTGACAGATTTTTTTAAATTTTTTTATTTTTTGGTACCAGGGATCGAACTGGGATCCTTGCGCTTGCAAGGCAGGCAGCAGAACCACTGAGCTAAATCCCCAGACATGCCTGACAGATTTGAGCTAATTTTAAAGGGGGATGGGGATCTGGTATTTATTTTTTAAATACAGAACTGAAACACACATGTAGCAGAAGTAGCAAATCATCTAGATGGACCGGAGTGTAGGATTTGTGCTGGAGGATGGTAGGAGACTGTTTTGAGAGACAGAGAGCTGAAGACAAGATCTTTGAAGGCCAGAATGCTGGGCTGAGGAATTTGGCCTCAGTTCTGGCAGGCAATGGGGAGCTACTGAGGACTTCAGAGAAGACAAAAGCACTCACAGCGGAGTGCCAGGAAATTAATCTGTGTTCAGGGTGAAACTAACAAAGCAGGGAGCAAGTGGAAGCCAGGCAAACAGCTAGAGGATACTGCAGGGTCCGAGCACCATGCAGTAAGCGCTTGAACGAGGATGACAGCAGCAGAGCTGAAGGCAAGGGGCGCTGGAATGGCACTGTTGGGGAAGTTCAACAGGATTTGGGGACGGATGAGATGGGCTGTCAAGGGTGGCTGGACAAAGAGAAGCACAACAGGACATATAGGACCCTGGTGCCAGGCAAATAATTGCATCAGATGTACATTCAGCCACACTTAGTGTGCATGTTGTAAAACAAAAAGGTGTGTGTTCTCCAGTTACAGCACAAATACCACGAAGTTGCATCATCTCCATACTCCAGAATTGGTTGCAAAATAACAACCCATTTCACAATCTGCTCCTGGCAGATTCACTTGTGAGTCTGGAACAGGATGGGCCAAATTCAAGGACTGTCCCCGGGGTGCTGAGAGGACAAGTGTTGAGGATCCTGTGAGCTTAGTCCTGGAAAAGCTGGAAGGATGTAGGGTTGCCCGGTGACAATGCTGCCTCCACCGCAGCCTGGGGTTTCCTACAATCCTGGATGCATCTCATTAAAAGGAAAGCAGATGTTTGGCTGACACATTTTCTGAAGTGGCATTTTTAGTGCCCCAAGTCCTGGTATCCTATTTATAAGTGGCACTTACAGAATACAAAGGAAAGGGAAAAAAAGGTGGGGAGGAAGAAAGATCTCTGGATCTTAAGCACAGGAGGAGTTGATCTTGACGCTCGGATTTCAGCTTGTCTAAGAAACGGGGATACTGAGCCTCCTTGAAATCCACCTGAAATGAATTAGCCTGAAGTAAAAGTAGGTGTTTATCTCAAGTCATTGCCTCAAATAGCTGACTACCTGTTGGAAGAAGGGTCTGATCGATGCAAACCAGAGCAGCCGTGCATGAGCTGTTACACAGCGGTTAGTATTGATCAGAGCCAAGGGCTGCCGATAGGAATGTGGAGCGAACTGACAGGCAGAGAAGAGGGAAGGAGGAAACAGCCTTCGCTGGTGGCAGCTGTACAGAGGAAAGCCGATAAAAAGTCAATTCCACTTAACTGAATGGCTGCTAACTAAATATTTGGGGGCCAGAGCCTTCCTAGGTAGCAGCTGGAGCATCTCTGTTCTGGAACTGAGACATCAAGCCAGCATAGGCATCAACAGGTGAGATCCTGGGCCCTGGCCATGGATATGGGCAGAGGAGACTCTTGGCTGGAGGGGTGGGTGGCTCTGGCCTCAGGTGGACTGACCTGGGCACTGCAGGATAACCCCTAACTATGGAGTGCAGCAAAGGGACAAGGACTAGGCTGGAATCCATGACACAGTCTCTGATTAATTAGTTCTTTCAAGACTCTGATTCTTTTATCCATTTGTAAGTTAGCGCCATGGAAATGAACTGCTACATGGAAAGCTGAGTGGTGGAAGTACTATAGATTGGATCTTGAATGTCTTCTAGATGCCCATGTGTTAAAGGCTTGGCTCCCAGCCTGTGACATCATTGGGAGGTGGGGCCTAGTGGAAGAAACCTAGGTCACTGGGAGGTGTGTTCTTGAAGGAAATACAGGGACCTTGGCCTCTATTTGCTTCCTGGCTGCCATGAAGTGAGCAGCTTTCTCTTCCATGTGATCCTGCCATAATATGCTGCCTGACCACAGGCCCCAAAGCAAGGTAACCAACTGATCACAGGCTGCAACTTCCAAACAAACCTTTATTTTAAATTTTAAATTGTTTTATCTTAAGTACTTATTACAGTTATGGAAATTTGACCAACATAGTGGATCTTATCATACACAGAGAAGCTGAACAATGCCATAGAAGGATATTAAGAGACTGGGTTTGGGGTAACTAACCCTAATCCTAACCCCACCCTTAAACACATGCTATATACCAGAGTTTAAGGCTGTGGGGCCAGCTTCAGCATAACTTGTTTTCCTGAATTTCTATGCATTCAGCAGGACTATAATTCTCTTTCTTGAATTACGTTTGACTATGTAACTTGTGTTGGTCAAAAAAATGTAAGGAGAATTGAGGTGTGTGCCTTCTAGGTAGATGCATTTCATTGCTTGTGTACAAATGTACGGATTTTGGCTTGCTATTGCTATTCAGGCATTTGTATTGATACACATTTTTTGAGACAAGGTCTTGCTTTGTAGATCAGGTTAGGCTTGAACTCACTATGTAGCCAAGGTTGGCCTTGAACTCATGGTGATCCTTCTGCCTTAGCCTCCCAAGTGCTTGGATCACAGGTGTGTACCACCACTCCTGTTACTTGTGTTAATACAGAGGAGTTAAATCTTCTGGAATATTAAGCTCAGGCAAAGCTGTGGATTTTGTGTGAATGAGAAATAAATTTCTATGGTGTGACATTACTGCATTTGAGGACTTGTTTGTTAACCAGCATAAAGGAAAATTTGCTGACTAGTACAAGGCAACTGAATCTCATCTTTACCAGTTACTAGTAGTTGGGTGGGTTTGGCTCATTGTTTAATCCATCCAAATCTTGGTTTAGCTATGAGGTGCAATAAAAAAGTCAAAGTGAATGTTTACATTTTTTAAAATTACAGTAAGATACACATTGTCATTAACCCCCTTCAAAATAAGCCCATGGTTCAAATACACATATCTCATGGTTCTTGGCATTTCCTGAAGCAGTTCTGAAAATCTTTTGTGTCTTTCGTTGCACTGTTGTGGCTGCCACAATGTCTTGAATCAATTGAAAAATTTACCTTTCATGGTCACTTTGACTCTGGGGAAGACCTTGCAGTCACATGGTGCCAGATTCAGTGAATAAGATGGATGAGGACACACTGTCATGTTTTTATTTGACAGAAATTGCTATAAACCTTTTGAACTGATTCAGGACATTGAGGAAGCTACAAAAAGACACTCACTAAAGAGGACTTCCAGAACTGCTTCAGAAAGTGGCAAGAATGATGGGATAAAAGTTTTTTGAAGCAAGGAAGGAGTATTTTGAGAGGGATTAATGGCAATGTATTTTACTGTAATTAATTAAAATTTTTATTTAAATATTAACCATTTTTACTATGTCATGTATATAATGCACCGAAAAACAGCAACAACAATAAAAATTACCTTGTATTGAAGGCTTATAAGATACAGGCGTGGCAATGGCTCTGCACATACTAACTTGTGTAATTGTCAAAGCAACCCTATAAAGACTTTATTATGCTCATTCTATAAAAGTGGAATTTGAAGCTCAGAGAATTTGAAAGAATTTCCCTTGGTCACACAGCTTATACATGGCAGGCAGGAATTAAAACACAGACCAACCAAGTTTAGAGTATTTTTCTTATCTATTTTCCTATACTGGCTCTGCTTAGATGCTTCATAAGTAACAGTTCTTTTAGTATAGAGTTGAGAATAAAATCTCTGACTCACACCCAAACATATCATATGGGAGGAAAAGAGAAATGTGGCTAGAATTTCTTTTGACCTTTTATCATTTCATATTCCAGCTACCCCTTACAAGCCTCTGTAGAATCTGTGCCTATCTGGAGTATTCTTCTCTACTTATTCCCCAAATCCTGGTTATTTCTAATGTTCCAGATCAATTTTCCATTCATTTGTGATACAAACATGGGACTTCCTTATTATCAGAAGAGGCTGTCAGAGAAACCGTTTTGAGGAGTTTCTCAAGTACAAAATGGGCATAATAACACCCATCTTGCTGGCTTATAACAGTGATATTGTTCATTTTGTAAGGCATAATGTTCTAGGATCTAGACATGATGCTTTGCGATTTTATATATAGGTATAGACAAATAGTACAGATGAGGAATCTGAGGATCAGAGAATTTAAACACATTTCCATAGGTCACCCAGCTAGAACAAAGGGTGGCAACTAGTTCAAACTATGACTTCAGAGGTTTTTTTCTTACCTATCCAACTCTGTGCCTTCTAAATAGCAAAATTAAGATTTCCTTGGAGTACAATCTAGCACACAACAGTAGCTCAGTAAATGATAATACTTATTTTGATTCATTCATAAACATGGATTGAGCATCTACAATGCACTAGGTAGTGTATTCCAAGAATTCCTTAAGGAATTCTTCAGGCATACTTTAAAACAAAGACAGAAGGGAATCATATCTTGTCCAGGCTGCTTTTTAAGATATTTGTGGACTGTCTACAGTGCCATATCCTTAGAAAGCACCTAGCAGAGGGAATCCTAGACCAAATGCAGGCAGGCTATAGGGAACAGTGACAGCTCTCACCATTCTGGGAGTTTCCTAGGTGGGTATCAGTCCCCCCCAAAAGCTCCTTAGTCCCACTTCAGCCTGCAGGTGATCTGGACAGCTGGGAGCATCCTCTGTGTGACAGGAACCCTTGGAGCAGGGGGATCATTTATAATTGCATCCAATTTTCCCCAGGACCCTCAGAAGGGTGACACAAATTGTCCCAGGTTTGTAGCTGGCCTAGAGACCCAGGGCTGAGCTTTTAGCTTCCATACCATGCTGTGCACTCCTTATGACTTTAGGCGTGGGAGAAAGATGTTTCTCCTTGACCACGATTAGAATTTACCTGGACTACCTCCAGGTCCCATCCAGCCCTGGGGAGAGGAGAAAGGCTGCTTGTTGCTCATCACTGGAACCCCTGTGAAAGCCTTAGGAAAGGGTGCTGTGCTGGCGAAACCCTGCTTACTTTGTGCCTGGCACTGTGCTCGGCACCTTCTTACATCTTCCCCACGTACTTCCTAAGCAGCTGCCATGGACCCAGGCGACCAGTGAGGTAACTGAGTCTCAGAGGGGTTAAGTGACGTTTAGTGTTGGTCCATGTTTTCTCTGAGCCCTTTTGAGACCATTTCACAATTTTGCTGAGTAACAGCCCTCTGAAGTGTCTTAATGAGGGGGTCCGTGGTGCTCTCTGCTTGTCAAATGCTCTTTATTTGAGAAATGCATTCTATTTATTGATATGTCAATGTATTGATGTGAGCATGCGTACGTGCACACATCTCTATATGCTCAGGCTTTTTCCAACCAATAATCCAGGTATGTGCTGAGGGTAGGGCTCAGACTATTCTGAGTTTTTGCACTTAACGCTTAGCAACTTTATGAAACTTCATTCCTTTAGGTAGTAGGCTTAATATTTTAAGTATGGCTTTAATCACTGTCCTCTTCATGTTTAAGGCAAAATCAGGAGAAGAAGGAGAAACATCTAACCCACGAGCACTGCCAGCAGTTCCACTCTTTCTGAGGACGAATGCCAGGATTCCAGAACACAGAAGCAAGGACCCTCCCTAAACTGCTTCTCAGGCCATGGACACACAGTGCTTAACCCTCTTTGAACCCCACCAGGTTCTCTTATTCTCTCGCACAGGCTGTAAACATTTATCTTTGGACCTTCCCAGAAATGTTTCTTATGGAAGGGATTAGCAGTTAGTGCATTTAACTTCTGAAGGTGAGCTCCTCGAACTTAACCCACATAATTAAAGTGGAAAATTCCTAGTGGAGGGGGAAAATAACCTTCAGGGAAAATACCATGTTTGGGAAGAGAGCTGTACTCCTGCAGTCTCCAGAGACAGCTCTGTGTTTTGGGGCACTTAATTATATTCTATCTTGCTCTGCGCTCTGATTCTTTCATTTTTTCAGGCTTAACTCTGCATTGAGATGATAAGCAACTTGAGGGCAGGGATTGTGATGTTGGAGTGGACCAAGAGGTTGGTTTTACAGTATCATTCTTAAACATTATAGCCATTACCTTTTAGTGCAAAGTATATAAGGAAGAAAATAACAATTAAAATTAAACAACAGTTTTATAGTCCAGATTAAATCCTCTTGGAGGCAGATTTGAAAATTCAATTATAGTTCCCCTCCATCTGGGAAATAGGTCTATTTCAAGACCTCCAGTGGATGCCCAAAACTTGGATAGTACAAACTGCATTTGTACTATGTGTTTTCCTAGACATATATACTTTGATAAAGTTTGATTTATAAATCAGGAACAGTGGCTGGGTATGGGGACACATGCCTGTAATCCCAGCACTCTGGGAGGTCAAGGAAGGCAGATTGCAAGTTTGAGCCCAGGCTGGGGAACTTTAGCAACTTAGCGAGACCCTACCTCAAAAGTTAAAAATTAAAAAAAGGACTGGGGATATGGCTCAGTGGGAAGGCCTTGGGTTTAATTTCCAATACCACTACCACCAAAAAACAATTAAGCACAGTAAGAGATTCACAACAACTGATAATAAAGCAGAACATTCATAACAACATACTATAATAAAAATTATACGAATATAATCTCTCAGAAGTGTAAAGACAAATATTCATATTTTCAAAACATGGTTGACATCAGATAACTGAAACCATGGATTGTGGGATCTCGGCTCCGGGCAAGGTGGAGGGGCTACTGTAATACAGAAAAGTACAAAATGAAAAATCCTTCTATCTTTGCCTGGTGAGTAACAGTTTTTGTCCTCCTCTATAAAAATTATTACTGTTAACTTTTTCGTCATTCCCTCACTCAATTAAAAAAATATTTATTTATTATTATTATTATTTTTTGGTACCGGGGATTGAACTTGGGTCCCTGCACTTGCACAGCAGGCTGTGAAAGCACTGGGCTAAATGCCCGCCCCCCAAAAATATTTATGATATAATCTTAGAGCCACCTAGGACTCCCCCCCATACTGTCTATGCTGCTTGCTATAATGCTTTATTTTTCATTGTTGTAGATCCAGACATTGTAAGTATTTTATGCTTAAGCATAATTCTTTCTTTCAGAGAGATTCTTATTTAAAAATGCAAATGGCAGGGAGTAATATTAAATGCTTTTGTGCCTGAGCTAAAAGTGCTGGTTCTGGAGTTATAGAGTATCTAGGTTCTAATCCAGGTTCTGCCCCTTGCTGTCTCTAATGACCCTCCCTGTCTCAGTTTCTCCATCTGTAAAGTGGGGGTAATAATAGTACTTGCTTCCTAGGGTTGTTATGAGTGAAAGAATACATGAGAAGTGCTGAGAACAAGGCAGTACACAGTATCACAGAGTAGGTCTTGAAAAATGTTAGCTGTTAGACCTGCAATATATCATTAATACTGAAATGTAAAAGATTTTTGAAACAACTGCCCTTTCTGAGTGCCTAATAAATGCCAATAAACATAGTCTGACTGCTTTGTGTACCACAAATCATTATGATCTTGTATCCACTCCAAGAAGTAGGTTCTAGTAAAAACAACCCATTTTACAGAAGTAGACACTCAAAAGCATAATGTAACCTGCTAAAGGTCATGCAAGTAGGTCTCACGGGCCAGCTCAGCTCTGAGGGCGCGTGAGTCTGATTATTTTTGGTGGCCCAACTAAGCCAGCACAGTTATTAAGAGTGGAGCACAGAGACTTCCAGCCCCAGAGATGTAGTCAAAAGGTGGGCTGACTAGGTAACAGGAGGGCACAGGTGGGAGGGATGCCTGGCAGAGGGGAGGGATGCCTGGCAGATAGGAGGAAGGTTGGCAGAGGAGAGGGAAAGGCATCAAAGGGAGCTCTGTCCCTAATGTGATTTTTGCATAAAGCCAGCACAAGATCTGATTTCCTTTGTGGCCTCCCAGTTGCCTGGGGCAGGGAGTTGCCGGAAGCCACAAGGTCTAGTCCTAAAACTAGGTATTCCAGTTCTACCAAGAATTCCACAACCTGGGGAACTCACATTACTTTGAAAGCAAGTTTCCCCTTCTTTACAATGGGGATCATAAATCCTGACTCACAGCCTCATGAGCCTATTGTAAAGCTCATTGGATCAGTTTGGGGATGTTTAAGTGCTTGGTTAACTGGAGCAGCTTGCAGAGATGCTAGATATTGTTACTGACTTGCTGCGTACCTGTGAGTTACTAGGGGGTACACTTGATCCCATAAAAGCTAGATTTAGTGATGACCCCAAACATGTGCTTCCCTGGGGAAGAGATTATGGTGCCAGGGATCCTAGTATTGTCTGTACTAAATTCAAGAACAGGTAGAGAGCTTGGAGTGGATGAGCAGCATTATCATTATCTAAGTCCATGATAGCAGGTTTGAGGAGTGCACCCTAATCAGCCCCCTCTTCTCTGTACTTCCACTCCTAGCAATTCAGGGCAACTTGGGGGCAGGTTGGTGTCCTCTCTCACGTGTCAGTGTTTGTCCTGCTTTATGGTCTGGTCTGCTCCAGGGCCACATATCTCACAGAGACACAAAGCAATCGACAGCATCCTGGCCATTTCTTATGGATCCAATATCCTGTGTCTTGGTTGTATTTCAGGCCAACTTTTAGTGAAGTGGATCAATGCTTGAAGCACACAATGTAACATGAGTCTTCAAGAGTTTGATTAATTGTGTCATAGTCACAGCCTCAGTTCAGGTTCAACCTTTTAAAAGTTTTATTATTGTATAAAGTGATCAATCAGAAAGAGAGGAAAGACAAATGCTCCATGTTGGCCGTATATGGCTCTTCTTTGTCAGCAAGTATTGCTCTCCTGGTCAGCCCAGCTAGATCGCTGGGGAGAAGCCAGGGTTCGTGAAGACTTGTGCTGGAGCAAAACTGGTACCAACAAAGAGAGACTTTAGTTCTCCAAGTGATAGGCTACAAGTGGTACTGCTCTAGTGCTGATCAACCTTAGCTGTTGGGGGTGGAGGGAGATTAAAGAGATTTCTAGTCCTGCGTCTCACTCACAGAGACTCAGCTGCCATTGGTCTGAGCAAGGTCTGCATCCCTGAGGGTTTTATTGTGAAGCCAAGTGTTTTTGTGCTATGTTGTCTCTGGTCCAAACTCGTATGTTAAAATCCTAAGCCCCTGTATCTCAGAATGTGACTCTTTTTGGAGATAGGAAATAAAGAGATAAAGTAAAATGAGTTTGTATGGGTGGGCCCTAATCCAATATGACTGGTGTCCCTAAAAGGAAAGGAAATTCTTACATATGAAAACCATGTGACATCATTGGAATAAGACAATCAGCTATGAGCCAAGGAGAGAGGCCTTAAAAGAAACTAACCCTGCCAGCACAGAGACCTTGGACTTCCAGCCTCCAGAACCATGAGAAAATTAGTGTGTTATTTAAACCACTGAGTCTGTGGTGCTTTGTTATGGATGGGAGTCACTGGTCTGGGCAAAGTAGCCAATGGCAAAGCTTTTAGGTATGAGAAGTTTATTTGGGGGGCTCATTCCCCTAGTTTCTGTGTTTTTTCTCTTCACAACCCTCTCCTATATCTGTTCCTGCTGGAGTTTGTTCTTCAAGTACAAGCTGATGAGGACTTAAGGTTTTAGCCTTTCCAGAAGGACCTGAATTTTGATGTGGGATTCTTAAAGCTCGACTGCTCCTGCTGAGAAAGTTGATGAAATGCATTTCTAAACATCACCACTGTAGTAAGAATCAATATTTATTATGTGCCAAACACTGTTCTAAGTAGTTTCTTTGTTCCTGTCTCTGTTTGTCTCTCCATTTTCACTTCCTAAATCTTCCCAACATCTTTATGAGGTGTGCTTACATGAGGAAACTGAGGCACAGAAGAGTTGAGTATCATGTCCAAGATCTTACAGAAGCTGAATGTTAGAGCTAGGATCTGAACCTAGGAAGTCTGACTCCAGACACCATGCGTTTAACCATTTACCACATAAATGGCCTCAGTGGTACCTGCTAAAGTCAGAACAGCTGAGGGCTAGCTTTGTTTTTCTAACAGTAGCTGTCAGGACCACTTCTCAGTAATTTTCCTCTTTCAAATCCTGAGGCAGTGTGCTCTGTAGGAGATCTTACTGTTCCTAAATACCGTCATCCCTCAATATAAGTCTCTGAAAGAAAAAAGTGTAGTATCTGCTTATCACCTAGGCACATCCTCCCATACACTTTAAATCATCTGTAGATTACTTATAATACCTAATACAATGCAACTGATCTACAAATGGTTGCTACACTAAATTATTTAGAAAATAATTCTGCATGTATTTAGTACAAATGCCATTTTTCCTCCTGAATTTTTTTTTGTTTTGTTGTTTTGTTTTTTCCTTAAATTCTTTTATTGGTTCATTTTAGGTATATACTACATTTACATTTATCACTGGGTGTTTGCACCTGTACACGATGCATCTTGGTTCTTATTTTTTCCCATTCCCTGTCCTCCTTTCACCCCCTCCACCCTTCCCTATTTACATAGACTTCATTTCCTTTTCTCATAATTTTTCCTTTCCTTTTTTCCCTTACCTCTTCCCCTCCCACAACCCCTACCCCTTTGGACCTTTTCTTCCTATTTCAAATGATCAATTATTCATTTAAATCATTTTCATCCTTATTTACACTTTCAGTTTCTCACACTAGAGAAACTACTCGGTATTTACACACATGTGTCCTATTTATTTCACTTAAGAGTATGGCCTCAATATGCATCCATTTAGCTATAAATGTCTCTAGTATCTCATTCTTTTTTTTTTGGTACCGGGGATCGAACTTGGGTCCTTGTGCTTGCACAGCAGGTGGTGAAACCACGGAGCTAAATCCCCGGCCCTAGTAGCTCATTCTTTATGGCTGAGTAGTACTCCATTTTATAAAAAAATCACATCTTTATCCAGTTTCCAGTTGATGGGCACTTGGGCTTTTTCCAAGCTTTAGCTATCATGAACTGTGCCACTATAAACATGGGTGCACCTACATCGCTGTGGTATGATTCTTTAAATTCTTTTGGGAAGATATCCAGTAGGGGAATAGCTGGGTCTCCCCCTGAATATTTTTGATCTGTGGTTAGTTAAATCCACAGATGTGGACCCTATGGATACAGAGAGCCAATTGCTCATCAGCAACAGTCATGGCCATGTGACTTTCTCTGGCTGCCAATACAATAAGAGAGAAAGTAAGGTACACTATTTCTGAGCATGAGCTTTAAAAACCATTGTGTGTGTTCTCTTCTCCTTTTCAGTGTGAGAGTGTTTTGAAGACACTGCAGGGCTGCTTGCCTGTCCAGGTCTCAGAATACTGTAGAGAAAGTGGAAGAGAGATATAACCAATGTATGAATGGAAAATATATCTTTGTTGAAAACCATAGAGACACAAGGGTTGCTTGGTATTGCATCATTACTTAGTAAAAACTCACTGATATACTCTCTGGATATCAATATATTTACTGTAAATACCAGGAATACTGTAAGGAAAATGTCTTTAAATAATCAATAAACTTATCCTAAATAACCAATAAAGCACAATGTAGTTTAATCCAAGCAAGCTTTCAAAACAGCTTTCTACCTTCCACAAATACTTCTTATGCATCTCTCTAGCCCCATCTCAAAAGGCAAAGAGAACATAAGCATTTGCCTCACTTAGTATACCCAGAGTTCGCTCACCAGCCCAATACTTAAAAAGAGAACCATTAAGAAAGGCTGGAGCAGACTAAAAGTTAATTTAGGTTTTGAGAGACTGGATAGACTAGAAGAGTAAAATTCCTATACAGATCAGAACTAGAATGAAAGACCTTCTCAATGTGTTATGTTTTGTGTCTAGATGTCCCCCCAAAGCCTCATTTAGTCATAGGTGGGGCTTTGTTGAGGTGGCTGGATCTAGTGTGTGATGCTGGGATCCAGGATATGATGCTGAGATTGATCCATGGTGCAATGCCAGGATTACAGCTGCCTCATCCGGATATGAGGGCTAACCTAGCATGGGTAGCCTGGAAAAGATACAAGGGACAGAAAGAAGGTTGTTGCATATAGCTTGTTGCTTGATACTTTGCTTCTTTGTTGCTTTTTTTTACCGGCCATGAACTGTTTCTCCTCTGCAATGGCCATTTCCTGGTGCCATCCTGCCTTGGAGCCAGCCAATTATGAACTGAAACCTCTACAAACTGTGAGCTACAATAACAACGAGAAAAGTAACTAAGACACAATGTGTATTATCTATTCATGCTTTAGACCCT